TGTCTTCCAAACTGTATCACCATCTGCGGGAAGAAGTCAATATTTGCGACTAGTTCAATTCCTACGCTCTAAACAGCACGGGGTAAAAGCCTGACAGAGATAAGCTCGTGTGTTGCTGCATTGCACCCAACGGATCCGTCACAAACTCTTACAAAAATGTTTCTGTGGTAACATGACACTGAAAGCTTTGGGTAAACTCATCCATGTCAACAAATGTAAAGAAATGCATGCAGAGACTGGAGAAAATTTGACTGGAAATACAATAGCAGCTGAATTTCCCCCGGCTCTCACCATTAGATCTTTTCTACACTTGTCAGTTTTTACTTGCAGCATCCTGGAAGAGCACTTGGTGTTCACTGCAAACTGTCACCTCACAATACACCCATTTTCTAGATCATTTTGAACCTACTGAACAGGAGGCACTTGTTGACCTACACTTTTCTTCACTGTGAGGAAAGATTTATCCTCTCAAGCAGTTAAACAATGACAAGACCTTCACTTCTGTCTTTGGCACAAAAACACTTAAAAGTTTTTGAGAGAAACACAGTGTCACCTGAGTTTAACCCATTGACACAATTTTCATGTCCTTCACAGAGCTGATTTGTGAGCAGGATTTTCCCTCTGAAGAAGCCAGAATGAGGATGAGTCAATGCAGTGTATTTACAAATAAGCACCACAGAAGGTACCAGCTGATGCAGTGACACTGTTTGAAGGGAGATTCCCCATCTCTTGTCTCGAGGAAATCCTAAAACAAGGTACAAGAATGGCAGTGCCTTTGCTTGACAAGCATGTCAGCATCATGTTTGTTTTAGTCTCATTTATCCCATCTTCAGAGGCATCAACATCCCTCAGCATTTTGATCCTGTTTCAAAATCCACATGACTATCAATTTACACCAAAGGAAGTTTTTCCTACGCTTAAAACTCTCCTCCTGTGCTGAATTTCACTAAATTACCCTTCAAAAGAGAAAGTTGCTGCTTGGAAATCAGAAATATTAACATCAAAACACACACATTAAGTTCCTCTATTAACTGACACTGGTCTAGAATCAACATGCCCAAGGAATGACAAGGTTTGTTTTTTCAAAACTATTTATTCCCTACTCCTGAAAAGGTCTGCTGATATACAACCTCTAATGAACCTCAGAGACAACAGCATCTGTCACAACATTCCCCCTGGCTCGGGGTAAAAACTTTAGAGACTCAAACTAAACATGTTTTAGCTGTGCCTCGTGTCAACCGATTCAGAACTGTCACAGACCCCATAGAGGAGACAGAAGTTGAGAGGCCCTGAGATGTTCCATGGAGCATCTCTCTCCCTGGAAGGATGCAGGCCTGAGGAAGGTCTGGAGCACGAGTCTGATGAGGAGTAGCTGAGGGAGCTGGGTGGGGCTCAGCCTGGAGAAAAGGAGGTTCAGGGGGGACCTTCTTGCTCTCTGCAACTCCCTGACAGGACGGAGGAGGCAGGTGGGGGTCGGGATCTGCTCCCAGGGAACAAGGGACAGGGCAAGAGCAAACAGCCTCAAGTTGTGCCAGAAGAGATTGAGACTGGATATAAGGGAAAAATTCTTTAGTGAAAGCCTTGTCAAGCACTGGCACAGCTGCCCAGGGCAGAGGTGGAGTCCCCATTCCTGGAGGGATTTAAAAGCCACGTGGATGTGGCACTTGGGGACATGGGTTACTGGTGGCCTTGGCAGTGCTGGGTTGACGGTTGGAGATGATGGTCTTAGAAGGCTTTTCCAACCTAAAGCTATTCAATGATTCTGTGAAAAAGAGCTATGGAAAACTGGCTTTGATGGTCTAACTGTTAGAAAAGGCAAATGCAACATCAGGTGACAGAGACCTCACTGGCAAATTTGAAAAAAAGCAGCAAAAGAGTTTACTGAAGTCATACAACCCTTTCACACTGCATTGCAACAGAAGTTTTTTTATCCCAAAAGCATTACTGTGCATTATCCCCACAATAACACTGGATAAGATGCAATTTTTACCATATTCTGCTCTTGCCCAAGCTTAATTATTGAATGCCTAATTTAACCACTGTCACTGATTAATTAGAACAACAGAGCCAGAAGCAGAACCAGCACAACACAACAAAATAGCAATATTAAGCTCTACTGGAATCTACTCTGAATATTTTTTAAAGTTCCATGTCAACAGACATTTCCTTTTTGCAAATTGTTTGTGAACAGTTGATGTCCCTATTAGAGAAACATCTGGAGGTTTTGTTTTTGAATTTTCTTCTCAACATTTGAGACTGACCTTTTCATTTCTAAATCAGGCTTTATCCAGATCTTTTTGGAAAAAAAAAAAGAAAAAAAAACCAAACAACAAGCAAAACCCAAAAAAACAACAATGCAACCCACTGCTGGCTTCCAAGGACAGCAGCGCTATATCTCAGTAAGTCACCAAACCCCTGGACTGTGGCTCAGCAGTTCTCCTTCTGAACAATGTGCAGATCATATCACAGAATAATGGAATGGTTTGGGTTGGAAGGGATTTTACAGGTCATCTAAGTTGCAACCCCCTGCCATGGGCAGGGACACCTTCCACTAGACCAGGTGGCTCCAAGCCCTGTCCAACTTGGCCTTGAGCACTTCCATGGATGGGGCAGCCACAGCTTCTCTGGGAAACCTGTGACAGTGTCTCACCACCCTCACAGGGAAGAATTTCTTCCCAGTATCTCATCCAAACCTACTCTCTTTCAGTTTAAAGCCATCCCCCCTTGTCCTGTCACTATGTGCCCTTGTCCCCAGTCCCTCTCCAGCTCTCTTGGAGCCCTTTAGGCCCTGGAAGGGGTTCTAAGGTTTCCCTGGAGCCTCCTCCAGTTGAACAGCCCCAGCTCTCTCAGCCTGCCTCCAGAGCAGAGGGGCTCCAGCCCTTGGAGCATCTCTGTGGCCTCCTCTGGACTCCCCTCCAGCAGCTCCACGACCTCCTGCTGTTGTTCCCCCAGAGCTGGAGGCAGCTCTGCAGGTGGGGTCTCACCAGGGCAGGGCAGAGCAGAGGGGCAGAATCCCCTCCCTTGACGTGATTGAGCTTTCTGGGCTGTCAGTGCACACGGCTGAGACGTGTTGAGCTTCTCCTCCATCAACAACTCCCCCTCCCAGTCCTTCTTCTCAGGGTTGCTCTTGACCCCTTCTCTGCTCAGCCTCTGTTTGTTGCTGGGATTGCCCCAGTCCCCATGCAGGACCTTGCACTTGGCCCTGTTGAACTCCACGGACCCACCTCCCAAGCTCGTCACAAAGAGTCCTTACAGAATTCCCTCTCTAAAGCCACCCACATTTCTTCACACTTTTCACTTTTAAGTGCATCCTCAATACATTCAACTTTGCTCCACTCTTTAAAAATTCCTCTGTCTTCCTTCCTCTCACTCCTAGACCCTTCCCATTCCCAGCTGGATTTCCTGATCTTCCATTACACCCCGTAACTCTTTTCCCCTCCAAAATCCCTTTAAAGCCTCTTCATTGTATCAGCTCACATCTCTTCTACTCTGTCTCCTCCAAAACCCTCCTTCTGTGTATCCCTCCTTCCTCCCAACCCAGTGTTAGCCCTGCTAGAGCCAGGCATGAGGAACCTGAGGTGAAACCATCCCAGCCAGGCCCTTCTAAGCTTTACACAAACTCAACCTGACGCAGCAGGATCCCAGTAGGAAAGGAAATGACTCCCTTAAACACCAGACTGACCCACGCTGGTTTGTGCAGGAAGAAAATACAGTAAAACCCCTTTTCAGGAAGGCCCTATTTCAGTGCATCCTGAGCACAACAAATGTTATGTACTACACAGTACATAAAGATAACAATTTTACCTTTACACGTCTCTGTTATGATAGAAACCAGAGTATCACGTTCAGCTTTGTTATTGCCCATTTGTAAAGGATGTTACAAAACAGATCTGAAGGCAACAGGAAGTGCCTTACTGTGAGATTTTTTTTTTTTCAGCACAGGCTCTTTGACCTACTTGATTGCAACCTCTAAAAACCTTTGCTGGGGAAAAAATGACAGTATTAAAGAGTTATTTAATCTTGTACGTAAGCTCACAAAATTAGCCGTGATAAGAAAATGGGAAACCACAAATAAGAAATGAGACATTTTTGTACTTTTTTTTCCACAAATATTTGAAGAAATTAACTCATGAGTTTGTCAAAAACTGGTGGAATCTCCAACTTTTCACGCCTTCACGAAGAGGCTGCAAGAATTTCCCCAAGTTATGCTCTGACAAAACAAGTAACGGACTCAAAACGCAATAACCACACAAAACTTGGGACATTTCACAGTGCACAGTGAAATGAATTGTAGAAGCCAAAGCTCTTGGACTTTTTTTTTTTTTTTGTTGCCTCCTATAACCCAAGCTACATTCATTTCAGTTTTCCTACGTCAAACACTTGAGCAAAACGGGCCAAAGAAAATGGCCCAAATGAATTCCACGAAAGCTCTTGGGGTTGTGTAGCCTTTGGCAGTTACTCCCGTTCTCTAGAATTCCATCTGTCAGTTGTCCCTTTCTACTCATTTCTGACAGAAGCTAAAAAAATAAACAATTTGTTTCTGGAGCTCAACACCAGCCTTGGGTCTGGGGAGGTTTGTTACCAAGTTCTTCTTGGAATCCCTCTGGTGGGAGGTGTCCCTGCCACAAGGAGGGTTGGAACTGGATGATCTTTTTTAAGGTCCTTTCCAACCCAAACCATCCTGTGATTCTGTGATAAGTCTGGTTGTTCAGCCATAGAAAATTACTCAAACTCAGTGTTCCACTTGCTGAGCTGATTTTTGGCCGATCGTTCTGCTTTTGAGAAACAAACCTTTCCCCTCCAGGAATCTTAAAACACTTAAAAGCCACAGCCAGCTCACATTTTTCCCCATGTAAGCATTTCAAAAGTCTTCAGAACTTGAAGGTCTGAACTCTGTGGCTCTCGCTGCAGCTGCACTTCAGCACAAGCACTTCAGAAGGGGCACTTTCCTGGGCAACAATTCATGTATTTTCAAGAATATGGATGTTTGCAGAACTTACCTCTTTCTCAGTATCCCTGGATATGCAGGTCCACTGGTTTTCCTTCACACTGTACGCCCAGAAGTCAGCCAGATCCTGAGTTCCATCCCAGCCACCAAACAAATAAACAGTTTCTGTTAAAAAAGGGAAGAACGTGTTAATTTTATTTGAAGAAAACATCTTTAAACAGGCCAATACCTACAAAACACCTGAGACAAACAGGCAAACCATCAGAAGAGTAATTTGAACCGATTTTTACTTAAAACACTGCTCCTATTTGAACAGAACCAGTCACCAAGACAAAGAAATGTGGTTTGGTTTAGTAATGGAAGTTTTTAAGATTGATAGTCAGCCAGTTCTCAGAGTCATTTTCTATTTCTACATTTACATAAGAGGCAATCAAACCCACAGCCTTCTGATTAAAATTCCAGACAGACAAATGAACAATATTTAACATTTTGGATCCTGTGCACTCAGTCTATCAATGACATCTCAGCTTGTACCCTGTCTGGTGCAAGATTTATACATCAGCAAGACTTGTGAGGCAGGAGCAGCAAAGTTTTTCTGTTTAGTCCGTTCCTGAGAAAGAAAAATTTACTTCAGTTATGAAATCCTCTCTAAAGGAAAAGCCTTGCATAGAGGAACTTACCTGCTGGCACAAAAGTAAGTAAGTAGAAGAGTTAAAAGATTTAAGTCAGTGTTTCAGGCCTGTCACCTCAAACCCACCACTACTCCATGCACAGCAAGTCCAAAGGATTCTCAGACTCACTGATAAAACCAGATGAAGCCTCTGAACACGGGGAAGCTTTCAAGAAAAGTCTCTGTTCTGCCATGGAGAGATAACTAAACTGCTCCTATTATAGAAACATCACTATCTAGTCTCAAGTGCTAAAAATACTTCATTTTTAGACTGTATTAAAACACAACACAAAGCCAAGTCCACGAAGAACAAGCCCCTCAAGACCTGTAGAGCTTTGAAAAAGTCCTTTAAAACCCACAAACCAGTCCTATTATGGAGGTAATGGCCAATTTTTAATCCAACACCAATTAAACTGCAGAGTTAGAAGCAGGATTACAAAATGGGACCAGTCCCTGACCCTTACCTACCATCAGGATAGTGGTCATCACCATGGAAAGGTTACCCTGGTTCATTAACTTTAATTACCCTTCCTCCTGGACTCAGGGCCCCCAGTGTTCCCTGCAAAGAGCAGGTCCCTTTGTGCACACAAATTCTCACAGCTCACAAAACCCACATCACCACAACAGCTTCATTGATAGCCGAGAAAAATAAAAGATTTGGCAGCGGCTAAATATCCCCCTGGGGCCTTGCCAAAACGTCAGGCCTGCCTGGAAAGGCTTTGTTGGCTCACATGAAATTTAATAGCAAACCTGAATGAATCTGATGAAAACTCAAGCTTCTGAGAGTTACCTACACCGAGCTGGCAGAGTGAAATGGCCTGTGAGCACTGAGGGAGGAGCACAACCACCCAGCTGGTGCCACTGAGAGCATCCCCAGAGCGGCACTGTGGGGGCACCAAAACTATGCCAGGCTCCATTTCCATAGTGATGGAAAACACCAAAGAAAGGCTCCATCACTATCTAGACCCAATGACTACCATTTTTTTTTTAGTTTTATGCTTTATTGCAGAACTATATATATATTTTATAAGAAGTTTCTGTACTGAAAAGGAGTATTTTTTTAATGCATAAATGCAACTGCTGCTGGCTAGATCAAGAAAATAATTTTTCATAGTTCTCCTACATTTTGCAATGGTTCTTCCATGGTATAAGGAAAAAAAGTTAGTTATTTGGTGTTATTTGGAGATTGTTTTTAGTTGGTTGGTTTCGAAATTTTTTTGGATTTTAGATTTTTTTGGTTTTTTTTTAAAGTCAAACTTCAGCACGTTCCCCAACCAGAATCACCCTTCTGTTCTACCTGTTAACTCAGATTTTATGGGAGGATTATTTTTCCACCTTGTATGCAGAGATCCGACCGGGACAGATCCAGGATGCATTCCCGGCACTCCAGGCATTCCCACCTCACCAACATATCAGCAAATACTCAAGAGAAGAGGGCAGAGACCACAAACTTCAGGCACAGGAGTGGGGCAGCCGAGCAATCTCACACCAGCATAACTATTCCTACTCTGGGGAACTCAGGGAGGAAAGGATTTCTCCCTCTGTAGCCAAGCAATGTGTAGCACAGCAATATTGATGCTGCTTTATTAAAAGCAACTCTCTATTCTGCTTCAGGGACACAGGAATTTTCAAACCTACCTGCAAGGCAACAAGAAAAAAAAACATGAAAGCAATTATATTTACCCAAAGCTTTCACCAGCTATGTTTAGGAAGTCAAATTTCTCCTCCAGCATTTTCACCTTATTTCCTCTACATTTATTTCTGAATACAAATTGAACACTTTGAATTAAATATGCTCTGTGGGTATTTCTAAACTGCTTGCTCAGACAAAAATGTTTCTGTAATATCTGAATTCTTCTCCTCCCTTACTGTCTGAATGACTAAAGGGTGCCAGAGCACTCCTCAAATTAAGAGGACACACGTTCCCAAAATTCAACATATTTCTTGTCAACCTCTCATTAATTTCTGTTTTTCAGACAAGTATGTAAAGCATCCTTCTCCAGCCCCTGGGAAATACCAAATATCCCAGGGCAGTTTCAGTCCAGGTTAACTCGTGTTCTCCAAGAGTTTTCCAGCTCCTGTTAACTCCACCTTCTCCATGTGGTGAAATCCTGGGTGGAATTTTGGTACAGTGGGTCTTCCTCATCTGACCAGGGTGTTACACGGCAAATTGCTCTGGCCAGGCTGACAAAAAGCTGCTTGGTGTGCCTGAGCCTCCCTGTTTCACCTTCTAATACACAAGCACAATGAATCCATTCCAATCCTGGTGACATATTTAACTACGTGCTTTAGTCAAATGGTATTTCCATGTCTCTGCTAGAACAGCTCTCCACGAAATATGAAAGAATTATGGACCTACAACACCTCTACAAGTCATCTGATCCATCAGTCACCTCCCAAACCTCTCACAGCAGGACCAGGCTGCACAGGGAATTACTCAAGTTACACTCAGAGTATCTCCAAGGGTGGATATTTCAGTCTCAGATCTGCTGCAATGACTGATTATCTTCATTACATTTTTTTTTAATTATTCCTAATATCTGGAATATGGAGTTTCCCATCCTGCCCTTCATCCTATCCCTCTGCTCCCCCCCCGCCAAAAATGAGTGTGGCCACCTCCATGCTCCCACCAGCTACGTGAAGACAGCTCTGAGATCCTCCCACGAACCTTTTTCCTACCAGCTGCACAAAAGCAGCTCCCAAAGCATCTCCCCACACATCACAGGCTCCAGCCCTGACCACCTCGGTGGCTCTCCAGTGACTCTCAGTTTGACACAATCCTTACTGTCCCAGAGAGCCCAAACTGGGCACAGCCACTCTCCAGATGTGGCCTGGAGTACCAAAGAGAGGAACATCCCCCTCCTTAACCTGCTGGTCACGCTCCTGCTGACACAGCCCAGCAGGACATTGGTCTTCATCCCCACAAGGACACACCGCTGGCATCTCAAAAGCTCTCTATGAAAAGACATCGATGCCCTCAGCAGAACCACAGATTTAGTCATGTGCCACCGGCACTGTCCACTCTGTGAGGGGCACTTGGAGCACAAATATAAAACCAGACCCAAATTTCTGTGCAGTTTCATGCCTGTTGGTTTCTGAGCCGCAGTTCAGTGTAGATGTTGGTTGAATCCAAGTTTTTTTTTCAGGCTAGGCACAGAGTCTTCCTCTCAAATGTGAAAGCACCATGAAGTTGAGTAACCTCCAGGATTCAGCAGCTGTTTGTGTTTCAGAGCTTCGAAGCCATCTGTGTTTTGTTTCAGAGATCCCTTCATCTTGTACACAAGTCCTGTCTTTAAATATCTTATGGATAACAGTGTTTTCCTCAGGCAAAACAGCATCCTTCACGTCTGCTGCTCTCTCTTCATCTTTTTCATCTTTCCACGCTGCTTTTGAACCAGCCTTGTCGTTTCCACTGTGCTGCCCACACGAGCCATGGCCACGCTGGGCCCAGGGCTCTGGATCTCCCTGTGTTCCCAACCTACGGCTTTGTTCTCACTTACCCAATCAAAGGAGGAAAACACAATTCCTTCCAGCAAAAGGAAAAGCAAAATAACGTGCAAACAAAATTAGAGCAGTCGCACTCCGGTGAGGGAACAGAGGTAACGCATTGGTAAGACACCATTCCGCTAATATTTTCCCTCAGAAAACAGTGTCACTTGCCAAAAAAAAAAAAAAAAGAGAAATTGAGACCCAAAAAAATCATCCTGGTTGCTTTGCTATTGTTTCTACAACAGGCTCACTGGAAAACTTCACCAGGCTTTAGCCTAATAAAGCTGAAAATTAAAAATAGCAGGATATAACACAAGATTTTTTTAAACAGGATTATTTCTATATAGTCTATAATTCTGTTACCAAAATAAAATTGTGTGGCTTTAAGGACTGCACTGTGATTCACATAAAACTGTGCCTGTCCTATGAGGGCAGAGGAGATCAATTCCACCTTACCTATGGAATTACAACCCTCATCTCCAAAACACAGCACATGTATTGCTCTAAAATAATGATGTTATTCCTTAAAGCTTGAATTTGGTAATTCACTTATTCATTCCCACTATCTTAAAGAATAAGCACTGGAATTCTGCAATGTGTGCCATATCTGAGCTATAGGGAGGCTTAGGAGGGCAGACTCAAACTCATCCAGAACTGCATTAGGGCTCAAAGCCCCTGGGAACACAGTTCCACACACAAGCCCGTGGTTCACTGCTCAAATATTTCACCAGGGCCTACATAAACAGCCTTCCAGGACTGACATTCAGCACACCCCACTGTGTTCTTGTGTAGTTTTGGGGTTGTTTGGGGGGATACTTTTGTTTGAATTTATGTACCCGGGTTGTGATACCCAATTACCTCCCCTTCCTTGTTTAAAAGCACAGGGAACTCTCCAGCTTTCCAAATGCAGAACTCCACGAGACATGCACCTTGCAGGGAGAAGCAGGAATAACATAAGCCTTCTGTTTTCATTCAGATTCTAAAGCTTTCAAGTCCCTAATAGTGGCTTCAGCTCTAACTGTGAATGCCTCTTGGTTTATGTTCCTGCACGTGCATACGAAACTCAAACTCCTGATTCTGCCTTCCAGAGTCGTTCCAGTCTGAGTGTTAATATGATTAAAAGCATGGAGGATATTATTATAATAACTCCTCATTTTTAATTTACCTTATGTAAGAAGACAAAACACGCTAAAGGGCAGTTTAGACCAAGTTAAACTATGTTCTACCTGAATAAACAGAGTCTCAGTGACTCAATGCGCCACCAGGAACTTAAGATCCAGCTCAGCTGCTTATCAATCCATATTCTCTATCCTAACATCAACACATGCATCCAGCAGTCTCAGTGCTATTAGGTAAATTAAACATATCTTTGTAGTCAGTGATAACTGGTTAATATTTCCTTGAGGTTAATCAAAACACAGAACCATTTGTAGCTCAGGTATAGCTACAGCAGGTCTGGCCATCAGAGATGGAAATTTGCTTCCCACACATATTCTATGTGATATGAAGCTTCAGAAACTCCTTAGAGGTAAGATTTTGGTGTTTCACTTCGTTTCCTAAAGATTAAAGCTGAAGAAAACACTCGTTTTTGAGAAGGACCTCACCTCTGTAACAAGGAGTGCAAAGTGAGATGACTTTTCAGTTGCCAAAGAGAAAAAAAACAACTCAGCAAGTGTGTGGGTAAGGCAGGGAGAATGTCTTTGAAGGGAAGAATATACCACTGCTCCTTTTTCCATTAATACTGGATTTGCTCAAGGTTAGCCAGGGAGCTTTACAGCTCCAGTCTGTAAAACACATCCTGACATAACTGGCTCAGTTCCCACCAGCTCACTGAACACTACCTGTATTCAAAGGGAAAACTCCAGCAATCACCAATGGCTGGTTTTAAGGATAACAGCCCCAAGAACTTCCCCTGGCCTGCCATGACCCAAATTAAATGGCAAAACTCATCATCTCAAAAACATTTTGGTTTGTAAAAGCCTCAGTGGACCTGGATGCAAAACTAAGAGCAGCTTCCCAAACAGCCCAGAGAGAAACTTTGGGAAGGTATCCCACCACCGCTGGACAGAGCTGCAGGAAGAAAGGGCCAGCATGAGAGGGGGAGATCCAGCTCTCCCACCCTGGGACTCCACCCCTGTGGGTGCTCTCCAGCCACTTCTGTGCAATTAAAACAAAAATGAATATATATATATGTATATAGACATATGGTTTTTATTGCCTTATTAAAGCAGAGTGAAAGGTGAAGTCCAAAGCAGAGCTCACAAGGACTTAAGAAAATCAACAGCAATGGAAAGGAAGGCTCACACTACCAGGGATATATTGTTTTCACAAGGTCTAATGGACTATCATTTCCAAGTTGACAAGGATCATGTTACTTCCAGGCTCTGGTGAAACACTCACTCTCTACTTATTCCCAAGGCCACTAGGGAGCGTTCCCAGCCTCTCTGATGGGAAACACCAGCAATGCTCCGGCAGCGTTTTGTTCTAATCAATCTCAAACCTCCTCCACCAAAAAAAAAAAAAAAAAAAGTTTGCTTTCATACACAAAATAACTCGAGTGCTTCCTCCAGAGCTGTAACTACACTCTGAGCACAAGCCAGAGACTGCAGCTACGTTTCTGCTTGTTCACTATGACTTAGCAAATTACTCCTGAAGGTGCTGCCCTGTCACATGCTCCGCTCCCGTCCGTGTGACCACAACAGATACGGCCACGGGCACTTCTCTGCCAGCTCCCTCCATGCCTCCCTGTATCCCTCTCCATTAATCACACCCTGATCTTGTTTCTCCTTTCCCCAGAACAATCCTTTCACTCACACAGCAGAGACTCAAGGCAGATGCTTTCCTTATTTTAGCCAGGGATGACGTGCCACGGCAATCTGATTCAATTAAAGCAAGACAAAGATACATAAAGTTATAGAGAACAGCTATCACTGGAACTGGTTACTGATACACAGCCCCCTTTCTTTTCCCTGCAGGTTCCCTGAAGCAGAGGCTGAACCATTCTTTAAACTGCTCCAGGAAACGTTTTTGCAAAGAAAGTCTAACAAATTACATTTAACAGGAGTTTCTTGCACACTGTGGAAATCAGAAGCCACTCCAACCAAAACACAAAGAATGTTTCAACACATCAGATCTATCGCTTGAGCTCTATTCCAAAGAGCACAGCCTGTAGCAGATAAGGGAAATTATTATCCTTAATTTCTCTTTTCTTGTTTGAGCTCCTGCTCTAAGAGGGTAGGAGGGACAAAAAAATTAAAGCTAATTGTTCTTGGTTTCTTAGTTAAGACAAGACAATGGCTAAGGCGTAACAGAGAATTAACAGGGAGGAAGGGGTGGGAGAGGCAGTTGGAATATAGTTCCAGAGGGAAAGCAGAGTATTAAATCCAACTATTAGAAAGTGCAATTTTTTTTGCCTCAAAACCTGAAGCTAAGACAGTCCCTGAAGAAAAAAAAAAAAAAAAAAAAACACATTTGCACATTAATATGGAAAACAGCTGATTAAATAATTAAGTTAATTAAGAAATGTAAGAACTACTCACCTGTCTGCACATCTATAACCATCTGATGGCCACCTCTCATCCCTGGTCGACTGTCTTCCCCATCACCTTCAAAAAAGAGGGAGGAAAGGGTTTTCCATTTTAAGATTTTTAAACCAAGGAAAGGTACAACCTCAGTACAGAAGGAGAGCAACTTAGTAACGCACCCTTCTTTAAGCATTACTTCAAAGCTTCTATTAACTTAACACTTTTCCCAGATAATATTCTTCTGTGCATTATAAAACTGTACGAGGTTTTATACTGAATTATCTGGTGACTGACAGGACAGATAGCAAAAGTTTATACCCTCCTGCAACTCTGAGCGCCTTGGAAAGGAACTCCAGAGGTCCTGGAGCACACAGGTGCTCACAAAAGAGCTCTGAGCCGTCCCTCCAGCTCTCCAGCAGCGAGGACACAGCAAGCCTTTGTCCCCTCTTCCCTCTCTTCCCCACCTGAGAGATGCCTGAAGGCTGAGCTGTGAGAACAGACACTCAACTGACAGGGTAATGCACCCCAGGGATGGGAGCAAGGAGGGGTTGCTGCCCTTGCACCACTTATCCTCACACATAAGGGAATCCCAACTGTCCCATTAAAGCAGCTTTCCAACCTCTTTAGATATCTTAAGCTTTCAGGACAGGTGTCATCCACGGGAAGCAACATGAGCAAGATAACCCGTGTTCTGCTGGAGGAGAAACCTGCTTGTATTCCTGATAACCCTTCCCAAGGGGGCTGGGGACACTGCTCCACATTTGGCAATTGTCACCTTGGATCCCACATTTCCTGTGTGACAGAGAGTTTTGTACTCTGTAGTCAAGGATGCTGCTGCAAGTCTGTTCTCAAGGCAGAAACCGGCAGAGAAAGATTTACCACATAACACGTAAAGACTTCAAAAGATCTCTTTTAAAACACGCCCTGTTCAGACAATGTATTTGTCAATCTTGGCTTTGAGTTCGGGTCGATTCCATTCATTAAATCCAGTAACACAGCTAACTGTTCTCATGTTTAACCTGTCTCCTGAGATTTGGTACCAAACTGATGATCTATCCTTGAATTTACTGCAAGCATTCCTGCAGTTTTCCTTACTCAGAAACCAGAGACCAGGCAGCATTTCACTGACTCTGCAGACAAATGCAACCTTTTCACAGAAGAAACCATTCCCCAGAAAAACTGTCCTAGAGGAGCCTTTCTTGCATCAGCATCATTTTCTTGCTCAGTATCCTCAAAGGAACACGACAGAACTCATGTACTGCCAGTTCTATCTTAAGAAATGTCCTTACCTTTGGTGCTTTTGGGGATAATCTGCCCCCAGCGAGGTTTGTACTCTTGCTGACTGATATACTGATTGAATAAGCCATCTGCAAAACAAAAATGTTGCTGGATAAAGCATTTATACTTCCATTGCAGCAAAATCACTTTTCATGTGGGTAACTTCAGCCTCGCTCAAGCCAGTTTGCCACTCCAAAGCCTTCGTGTTCAGTGAATGCGCCATTATATGTCAGTTAGTTTGTTCAACTTTTGTTAGTTTGTTAAACTTTTGTTAGTTTGTTAATGGACTAAATGTGAAAGCACTAAAATAAAAAGAATACTTGCTACTAGATCAATCAGGAATTATCCAGTTTGCCTGCCAGGTCATGCCAAGTGTCTATAAATCTCCAGTGTGGTGTATTTAATTAAGAATAGAATCCCTACCCCTTATTTAAGCAAAAAGGAAAGTTGCCAGTGCATATAAAATTCAACCATTTTAGTCCATGTGAAGTTAAAACTAGGTCAGACAGCATCTCTGGAGCTTCATCTGAGAAGGAAAGGGAAGCAGAGCAGATTGTTTAAATGCTCCGATATGGGACAACCAGGCACTGGATGAAAAACAAAATAATAGTTTACATTTTCTTCAGGGAGTTAAGCAAGAAGAGAAACAGAAGATGTGTCAGGTCACGGGGCAGATATGCCAACTGCAGCATTTTGGTGAGAAACACCAACTCCAGCACTTTATCCACACTCCCCTTGTGCTTTCCTCTCCCCTGGTACACCTTCCACACGCCACCTCTTCAGCATCCAGAGGCCAGCTCCTAATTCTGGTTCTAGGCTATCAGTCTATCACATAAGCATTCCTCTTTTGAAAAAGAGAGATTCGAAACACCCACGCTCTCTAGGACCGCTCTTCAATCTGGGAAGGGCTTGGCAAACCTTTGGGGAACCTGGTGCTGCTGATCTTCGAATGTCTCCTCTAACAAGCCCACCTCACCTTCTGCAGGCACAACAAGCCATCAGACCTCGTGAGCACTGCTCTCCTGGCTGCATCCCACCCACCACCTCAACACACAAGCCCTTCCTGACAAGTGTCTGTGCTGCATTTAGGCATTCCCTGAAAAAGAGAATGAGAGTTCAGACACCTAACATCAGATAGTTTTTAGTTCTTTTGGCCACAGTAATTTCGGCTTTGAGGTAAGAGTTTAAGAGATGATGGATGCCTCTGTTTATTTATGGAATGATCCTTACTGAACACATCCCTATTTATTTACAAAAAGGTAAAAAAATCTTTGCTAAGCATGACACAAGGTTCAGAGAATATTTTGAAGTGTTTCCTGGCATCCTGTAGTTTGTCGTGACTGAAATCCAGGTTTTAATTAAAACTCAAGCCAGCAAGTATTTCCTGGGAGAAGATGAATGCTCTATTTAGAGACCATCTAATAGGAAAACAAGGGCACTCAAGAGCTTCTGGAAGGTGCTGAGTTTGGTCTGAAAACACAAAACTTCCATAAACTCAGCTGTGCAAGGTTTTCCAAATAAATACTCCGAAAACAGGGCAGGTTTTACTTTCACCTCAGAGCCAAAACCATCAGCTCTCTCCCCGCATTAGGTAATCGAGGAAAGCCAGAAGTTTGCTCAATGTATGTAGAAAGTGGTTTATTTTGGGTTTAATAGCAGGGTTCTTAACTCCCACTTCTTCAGCATTTACGAAGTTGGGACAACACACGAGAGAGAGGCTTGAAGCTCGAGATCTCATAAATTCTGATTCAGAAAAGCCAACCCTCACAGAACGAATGCATGTGCTGTAAGAAATCCCATGGTGACTCAGCCACAAACCCAGACAGAAACGCAGCCTTTTGGTTACTGTTACAGCCCTGGGCCTGCACGACAGAAACCAAAACCGTATTTATCCCGATGGCAGCCAATAGATAATTGGACGTAAATAGCTCCAAAGGATGAATTACACCACATAGGATCTGAAAGGGTGATTTAACCTCTCTCCCATGCTCAACACCCACAGGCTGCACTTGTCAAGATACGACACTTCTCCCCTGCTGTGCCTTCAGCCTCTTTTAATAATGCTTCTTGTCTTCCATGGGACACTGGTTTGGAAACGCTCCAGCTTGCTTCCCAGAAATGTTTCTTTCTGCTGGGAGCAGTTCCACATTCATTCTACTTGTGTTGCAAACCAGCAGCAGCTTGTTTTGGAAGCTGAATCACCACCTGTCTGACACCACCAGGGACAAAAAAAAAAAAAAAAAAAGAGAAAAGAAAAAGGAGGATTTCTAGGTGGATTCTGCACCCGATGCCAGACCTACGCCAGCGCACTCCTTATGTTCCTTGTCAGGATGGCTCTGCTGACCAAAAGGTCTCCAAAGCTTCTTCTCCAAGGATCAGATCCAGGCCCGCTCAGCTTTGTCAGCTGTTCCCAATGAATCAGGAGTTTAAAATAAATTTCAAGACTCCCTCAAAAAAAAAAAAAAAAAAGGTAAAAAAGTGTCAAGTGGAAGTTTTTCAAGGAAGTTTTCCTTCACTTCAGTGTCCATGTTTACTAAAATTACAGACAAAACCTTGCTCTGTACTATTTTTCAAGCCCTTCTCAGCAAGTCATGACGCATTTTGGATGTAACAACACGAAGTTCACGGTGGTTAAAGCTCAGTAAATTCTGCCACCCTGATAACCCAAGCCTTTATTTTGCCAACTGCAGGTTACCCAGAAAGGATTAGGACAAACATCATGGACAAAAATATTTAACTTTCTGAAGCCAATCAGGAACAAGTTGTATTAAGTTTGAGGTGTTTTTTTTTTTTTAGGCAACACACATCTGCAGGTAGGATTACTAAAATCTACTCACTTCACTGCTAACAACTGAAAAAACTTCAGAGTGACCCATAATTTCTGGGAGTTGGGGTTTGGATTTTTAAAGAATTATGATTTTTCTCAAACCAAAGAGAAATACCCAGAACAAGTAAACAAATTGGGGTGGGGTTTTTTTTGGTCACAAAAATCCTTCTAAAAAATATAAAGTTGAAGGAGAAAACAAAGGTGCTGTCAGATAAAAATCCAGCCATTACTTGACAATTTCTTGGGAGAAACAAGGAAAAACACATTTTTTTTTCTCCAGCCTCAGAGCTGGAATATTTTCTTGCACTTTGCTCTTTGCTAAAATGAAACAAGGTTTGCTCTCGAGTCCTTATAAGTTATCCCTCTTCCACACAAACCCCACCATTTATTTAGGACACGCTTTGGACCCCCAGCCAGCCTCTCCCCTCCGTATATCCCAGCGTACAGAGCAGCATCCACGCTTCCTCAGAACCAAATCCAAACAGTACTGGATGGTAAAATTAAGGTATATGAGTCTGCCTGGAGCTCCCAGGGGAATACAAGTGTTCCTGTGCGTCCTGTTCCTGCCCATCCCAAGTTTTGTGAGACGCTGGAGCCTGCAGGCTGTGCATCACAACTTACTGTTTGTCGTGCAGGGCTCACTTGTCACCAGATAAACACGTCACACCCTGACACGAGCAGTGCCACAAGGAACACCTCAGTCCCTGGAATACTAATATGAACCCAGCAGATCTTCCATCCTTTTCAGGCAGCTCTCCATGTCTACAGGAGCTGCAGGCAGCTCAACTAAGTAATCTGCACTCCACATACTCTCTTGGAGGAATATTAAGCAGATTTTTTTTTTTTTTTGCCTTCAATAATATAGGCCCGAGAGCTATAGGAACGGATCCAAATGAGAAACATTTGAACCGAGTCTGTGAACCAGCTGAGATTTAAGGGACCCTTTTCTTTTTGAGAGGAAGTCAGGCAGCTGCCAGAGTTTCCATTTGCCCGTTCTCGAAGTGCAACGCACGAGTCAAAAGAATCTGCGGGCGAAGTGTGGCTGCCTGCCACCGAGCTCTCAAAAGAAATCATCTGGTGATGTGAGGTGGAAGACAGCGCTCGTCATTAGCAATGCAAAAGAACAAGAGTTAGCTCTGCCAGCGCTAATTCTTGACCACCTACTCTTTTTCTACATGACTAAGCCTATGGAAATCGCCCGGCGAGAGATGCAGCGCGCCGGGCTTTTTCAATGCCCACCACGGCAAAGATCAGCCTCTCCAGGAGACATTTTAGGGCTGAGCCGAGCGTGCAGTATCTCTGTCAACCTCGCTGCACTTCTGTTTGTGCCTTTAAGGCAATGAACTCCCCGATCAGCGAGCGGTCAGGAGTTCACATATTCACGCCCGGCCTGCAGCAGAACGGGCCGCTCTTTGAACGATTTCAGGGATAATTTAAGGATCTGTATGTCTCAATTAACTCTACACTTCAGCTGCGCTACACAGACACGGGACCAAAGTTAATCCGCTTTTGTTTGGGAAAGCAACACATCAGAGAGAGGAGCTCAGTGGTAAGAACACCCACACCTTAGAGACTGAGCAGGAGCTACGGAGACTTCACAACAGAGCTGCTAAGAAAGTAAAATGGCAATAAATCATCGTAGAATGGCCTGGGTTGGAAGGGACCCTAGAGATCGTCCTGTTCCAAATCTTATGGAAGGGTGAGGTCCTTATGGACAGGGACACCTCTTACCAGACCAGGTTGCTCAGAAACTGCTGAGGAGCTTGAGACATGCAGAGCAGACTCAGGACAGTGGAGTACCACAGGGAGCAGGAGGTAGGAATACTGTAGGAGGACGTGCTAAAGGCTGAAGACATCTATTCCCATCCTACCAGCAGCAGTGAAGTACAGTGATACTCAACACTTCGACTGCCACCTTGCAAAACTCCAGACAAACTATTCCAGCTGTAAGTTTTGTGGTTATCAGAAGAGGTCTGTCCCATCCCACAGCTCCATGCCCAGGTCTGCCACGTGGCAGCACGAGCACCAGCGCCAGGGGACGCAGTGTCCTGAGGGAGGGCAGGATTGACCCAGTTAGGAAAAACCTGCAGTCGTGTCAGCTTAAAGCAAACATGGGCTGCAGCCTCCGTGTCTCGGGATAGACGGCACTTCCCTCCGGAGGGTGCTGGGAGGCGACAGAGCTCAAGAGCTGAAGGCAGCATAAAGAATGGCAGGAGGATGGGGAAGGAAGGTTAATGTATTCCAAGACAAGCAAAATCATTAAGGATGACCAACAGAGCAACGGGAGATGCGCACGCTGACATTTAATTTCAGCCGGCCAGGTGCCGGATTGAAGCGCAGCAAAATAAACACCCTCACATGTATTTTTCTGCCCCTCAGAAGCAGTGACAAAACAATGATGCTCTTGAAGACTCTCCTGCTAAATTACCCACCGTCTGTTGTGAGCAAGACGTGCTTCTGTACTTGCTGGAACAAAAAAAAAAGGACTGATGAAACAAGCTACAGCATATTCCTCCAGTTTGCTTAAGGGATGCTGAGTTCCTCAGCTCTCCTAGAGGGAATGATCTCAAAAACCAGGGAAGCAGGATTGTCCACGTCAAATCTGACACGGAACAAGAGTCTGTTTGTCAGACAGAAGACTGCAGCTCTTTTTTTTGAACTACCAGGAGAGTCCTTTGACAGTACTTCTTCCACCCCTGGAAAAGCTGAGCACTGTGGACAGCAACCCCACTCTCAACATACACCACCTCAGCTCCAGTTCTAGGGGAAAACTGCTGGATGAAATAAATGTTAAGCATTAAGTAGAAAAGAAACAAAGATACAACAAAAAAAAGTTACAAACATTCGCTTCATTAGTGCCCAAGAAAAAAAGTCCATTTTTGAGGGAACCTTTTCAGCACATTCTAGACTTTGAGTGAAATTCTACTCAAGAAAGAGTTCCTACTCCAGCCTGGAACGAAGTGGAAAGAGGAAGGCCTCCAGGCACTGAGACTAAGTCACAGCCAAGGTTGTGCAATGATAAAATCATCACCATCAGCACAGAGCACTCCTCTGGCTGCTGCAGCATCCTGGTGGGCTCATCAGCTCCCCCAGGCACTCGTGTCTTTGAGACACAGACAGTAACAGCCAGCCACAGCTCCCTGCTGCTTCTCCAGCCTGCAATCCTCCCGTGCCCTTAAGATTCAGGAGGAAGCTGCCAGTTGCACAACGTCCCTGCATTGCAGGAAGCTGTTCACGCTCCCACCCCAGCCAGCAACACTCCCTGGGCTCAGGAGGGCAAGGATGAACGCTGTTCTCAAGTCTCAACACTTGTAACTGCTCCTGGAGCTCAGCACAAGGCAGGGCTCAGCTGCTCTGCCTAAGAAACCTTGAGCCAAACACACAGAAAACCACTCACCGCAGTTCTGGAGGACCTGTTACAATAAGCTCCCTAAAACTGCGCTCAGTTAAACAGCTTAGTCCCAAGAAGACGGTGGATTTTCATGGAAGACAGTTCTTGATTTTAAAGCTATCGTTTCTACCCAGTTCTGAGAACCACTTCCAACTGCAGCGGTACAAACCCCACTGCTGGAGTCAAGCAGGTACACCGGCATCTATCCAGAGGTATTACAAAATGACTGATTAGCCCAGAATCAAGATAAAAACATCTCTGGTGCCAGATATCCGTGAAATTGGTTCACTAAGTCCCTAACTCTACTGGCATCAGACACACAGTTCTCCTCTCACGCCATCACAAGTGTCCCACGAGGAGTGACTGCACATATTCAAACAGCACTACACCCACAGCCAGGAGCACCTCTCTTTTATCAGACTGCAATCCAAAACCGCTGCACAGGTCTTGAGAGACACTTCAGTGCAATAGTCCAACTCTTTCTGTATCCCATTTTATCAACAGAAAGTACATCTCCCTCATTTTAGGAGCTGAGAGCTGTTTATACACCTTGTTTTTAAGTAGAAAGCTTCCAAGTAAAAAGTTAATAGCAGTTCCAATGAAACCAACAAGGTCCTGCTCTGCAAGGGAAAACAGGCTTTGCCTCTAGTCACTGACTTCCACACCATTCTCCAGGGATTATTTTCCCCATAAGCAAAAACAGCACTCTCATCCAGATACAGATGAAAACCTCTCCCTAAGCACCAACTTGGTGGCAAGTTCCAACCAGAAACCATGATCCAGATCACCACTGAGAACTCCAGCTTTCAGCTTCCCTGCTCACCACTCCAGTGACTTTCCTGAGAGTCAAGCCCACCCTCAGCTTGCCAACACTTACATGAAGAACTTATCTTTACCCACTCAAGTGCACCTCGCTGTCATCTCTGGGGGAAGGAGACTCCAAAAGCAGCAGTGACAAGACATTTCATGACTGAATTTCTAGCCTTCATCACACAACACACTCACAAAGTCCAAAAGCTGACAGCACACCACAACAGACGTCAAACAGCACATGGACCAGCCAGTTCTACTACAATGCATATTAACACTCAAAAAAAAAAAAAAGGTAATATTTCAATGGGGTGTTTTTAATAGTTAATATATGAGGCTCCTTTGAGTCTCTTACCGTTCACAGCTTTTTCTATCAGTTCTTCACAGGCATCAAAGTCTCCCTTCAACACCAGCTTGTCGTGGAGGTCTGTCAGCATGGGGTGCTCCAGAGCAATCTTGGTTTTCTTCTGCAGCGACTCGAAAGCCTCGGTGTAGTTGTGCTGCCGAAAATGCTTTAGGCAAAGGCGAATGGCTTCCTGTTCACGGTACTACTGGAACACAAGAAAACCTATGAGACATGTAGATATTTTCCTTCCACCAGCACTGCTGGGAGCTTGCCTGCGAACCTGGAGCGGGATCTCTTGTCCACGCTGCGCAAACTGCTCGCCAGCTCGCAGAGGAACGCTGTGTGGACGACATTGAAAGCTGTGCAGGCGTTTACTTTCCAACAGTATAGAAGTTATACAGCTTGGTATCACCCAATTTAATGAGCATACAAGAAGAGAGCGCACAGTGTCCCAGATCTCTGGAGTGACCATTAGTTCCCCCCCCCCATCTGCTTGGCCCTGCTGTTCGAGGCCTACATGAAGCGCAGAGCAGGAAAAAGCCTTCGCTATCAGCGTTACATAATTTGATTGTATGACTCTTACATAACAAAATAATTTAGAAGAGTAAGTAGGTCACAGCTTTTCTAGGAGCAGAAGGGAAAAAAAAAAAAAAAAAGCCACAAGAACAGGAATACTTGCACTGACCACCACTCAGGCTGAAGGCTGACCCCAAATCCTGCGGGTTCAGGAGGGGTTTTTATCAAAGGCAACAAGGATTTACGTGCACAGCAAAGTTTTGACTTCTAAATATCGCCCTGCATCTTAAAGCAGAACCTCTGCTTTCACCCCACAGATGAGCCACAGCTGCCCATATCCCACCTGACTGTGGGAAGGGGTGAGAAAGGTGAGAGAAACCCACACTGGGTCCAACATCCCTGCACAGACACGTGAGGGAACAGTAAACTCTGAGTAAGAGCTACAGTTTGTGCTGTTAACCCAGCAAAACATCCTCTGTGTTTTCAAAGCTGCTAACAATATGCATAGGAAACACAGATTTTTAAGGTGATAAGCAGCAGAGCCACTTATTTTAAATAGACTCTTCAAACCTAAATTCTAAGGCATTAAAGGAAAAAAAAAATTCTCAATTTCCATCTTTAACACACAACTACTGTGGTAAAAAGCAGTTGTAAATTTAAGCAGTTATAAGACTGATTAAATTACAGACAAGAGATTTCAATCCTAAGTGGACACTACTGCTAAAAGTGAAGTTTATGGTATTTAGATGAATAGAAATCTTTCTGAAAACCTGGAACTAACACTGACTCTCAACAAAAATTAGTGCTCCCGGAATAATGGCTCGATAGCAAGAATCTCACAAACTGATGCGGCTAAAGAGAAACACGGCCATGAGATATATTTTTAGTTCTTAATCCATCAGTATTTCACAGCTGCAAATAGCCAGAACTACGCATTTTTAGAAAACCAGCTCCCAGCCCACATGAAAAAGGCCAAGGACATGTACTGATAAGAATGCAAGGCTGCAGCAAAGGAGTATTGAAGCTAAAACAGTTTTACAGCACAACTGGCAAAAAAAAAAATTGTTGTTTTTTTTTTTTGTCTTTCCAACAGATCCCTAAGACACTGTCTTTAAGAAATGTTCACTTACATCAAAGCCAAAACCAAATTAGATTCCCTGTTGTTCAAAGGGATGGCAAGCAAAAAAGAAGAGCTGCACACCAGTAAAAACCAGCTTCTGCTTTTTCAGATCCTCCAGTTCAGAAATTAGGCAAAATTCAGACTTGCTGTATTTCCACTGAGCCCCTCATGGCTTGGCTTATAAAACAGGGGATGACTCTTGGATGCAGGTTGGCCACTCAATGCCACAGAAAAGTTTCTATTCAAGTGACACCATAGTACTACTTCAGAAGTTAAATATGAAAACCTCTTTTTTATGCAAAAAGGTGTATAAAAAGTACGTAAAAGGCTCCTTTATAAATGCTGTCATACAGGTTTAAAGTGCTGACAACCCAAATAATAGCTCTGATCTGAAGCTGTAAATAATTCCTGCGGTTAAAAACGTAACAGGAGCATGGGACCAAGACATTAACACTGTCAAACACACTCGTAGAATTAAAAATAAATTCATGTGCTCCTCATCAAAAGCGATAGGCTGCAATAAGCTGCCACTTCTTAGGGGCTTATGTTTGTTCACTCTTCAGGAGAAAGGGGTAAGGGCTTTTGTGAGGCAGCAGGCTGAGCTAGACAGCAAGGAGAAAGCAGTAGGGGGGAACTGAGTAGTGTGCTTGCTGTTCTCAGTGCTTATCCCTTATCCCCAACTCCACTCCCTGCAAGAAAAGGGAGGTTTTGTTGGCACACAACAAAAAGGACAGGCAACTTCAAGTAGAACCTTCCTCTCATCTGATGTCGCAGGCAGCGAAGAAATATTAGATTTCAAAGCCTCCAAGATTGCCAAAAACACGGATGAAAATATTCGCACCACCTCAAAGAGCTCAAAGGAACAGGTCCTGCCTTTCCCAAAACACGGGTCAGCACATCCTCCTACACGGAACCAGCAGCAGTGGCCTCTCAGGGCTGGGAGGGAAGAGAACACCAGTGGCATATGCACTCATCCCCAAAAACTTGGCAGCTGACCCTAGCAGAGCCCAGACCATCATGACTAAGTATCTGCCTTGCTGCTCTGGGGCTCTCGAGCTTTGGGAGAACAATGCTGGCACCCCCTGAAGAAGCTGTCACTGCACACACGCTGACCGTGAAAAGTGCCGATTCCATGGGATAAGATGGAAGGAGACAGATGCAGACATCATCATCATCATCATCAAATGGCTCCCAACCAAAAAAAAAAAAAAAAAAACAAATCAGAGCTTTCTGCTTGCAGCAACCAGTCCAAACTGCCAGACACAGCACCACGTGCAGAGGTAGCAGAAGGGAGCACAAAAAACCATCAGCACCTCCTGTCCAGTGGACTTTTCAGAAGCAGACATCGATCATCAGCTGACTAATGACCACACCACCACTTGGATTATAAAGCAGCTGCAGACAACTTGTCCTGTGCTCGTTAGGGCTGCATTTAAATCCTCCCTGAAGAAGCTCGTGATGTGTTGGTCTAAGTGGGTATGAGCCAGACACCACAGTCACACATTTTCCTCACCACACTGGCAGCACCTTGAAGTGGTGAGGGAGCCTCAGTGCTGATCACACACAGTCTCTATCCCCTCCTAAGCTTTTCCTTCTGGAAGCAGAGACACACTGCCCCCCCCCATTCAGTCTTACTCAGCTTGGAAGGATGTCTCCTCTGCAACACAATATGAATCTCATTAATTGTTCCAGAAGATCCAGTGCATAACATGCAGCAACAAAATGAATTCTGGTTGTCAGCGTGCACTTCCCTCCCACAGGAAAGGCGCCTCTTGTACTCAATTAAACAATGTTTATACAAATAATGTTGGGAACCTTTTGAACTTTCTGTCTATCAAAGTGACAAATGGCATAAATCATCTCATCTCACAGTCCAGCGGCATCGGTCCCACTCTGTTCCAGGGTATTCAGCAGAAAGACAGTAAGAGGGAAATATCAAAAGTGCAAGGAGCTGCAACAGGAAAGAAACCAGCATAGATTCTCTTTAAAACAAGCTCATTTTATACCCTGTAACAAAAGCTGCACCTCTAACCCAAAAAGCCTCTGGACTCACGTAGCTCTACGGACTGGTACCTTAAAAGAATGACTAATCAAAAGGCAAGAAGAGGGGGGGGGAAAGAAATCTGGTTTTGTTAAGATTCATTTCCCTTCCAATACAAACACTATTTTCCTAATATTGTCCCCTTTGACTAAGCGTTTCTTTGTTTTATGTTCTTCTTATGATGTGTACGTGGCAGGTTTCTGTGGTGGTTTTGGGGTTTCTTGAGAGTGTTTTGTTGGTTTCTCAAAGAGAACGTGCAGATACAATTCAAAAAGATTCCCTTCGAGTCGAAGTCAGCCATGTGGTCTGAGTTTTTGCTGTTTTAGTAGCTGATATTCAAGGAGTGAAAAGGTCACATCAGTTCCAGTAAGAGAAGTTTCACAACATTCTGAGACTGGGAATCTTCAAACAAAAAAAAAGGCATCTAAAATGCAGGCCTACCTTGCTGTACCAGTTGAGGCATGGCTGGACCACATCTGGATCATCAATGCCATTAAGTTCAACATACCAGATACTAAAATTGAAGCTAGGCCCCCAGGACAAGAGCGGAACTGGAGAAGAAAGGAAAAGGAGAAAAAGGCTGCATAAACATCAAACAACGACTGCATTACACGGTACTATTGCAACAGAATGCTTTTAAAGGTTACACAAAATTCACTATTTCGGATTTGACTCGAGTTCTAGTTTGTTTAAACTAAGCTTATGAAAACTACCAAATACATCATGCTCAACTTGTCATTTAAAGCAACCTGTGCTGAGCAACGTTAACACAGCAGATCATTACAAAGCAGAAGCTTTAAGCAAAAGAGCAAAAATACTATCATTTAAAACAGCTCCAAGAGGCAACAAGCTTTGACAAGGCTGGGAATCACGAGCACACCAGCGACAGTATTTGCTCATAGTACATTTATTTCCCCATTTGTCAGCAACAATTATTTTCCCTAATGGTGAAGACAAGAAGCTTGGGTATTTTAAATTTTACAAAATTAGTAACATCTGCAAGTTGTGGAGGAGGAAGGGAGGGATAACTGTCAGTTTCCAATTTAAAGACTCTAAATTTTTTTTTTTTTAAAAGCTTTAATCTGTGCAGTTTTTTGCTGATACTATTTTATCTGAGCATCAAAACAAATGTACTTAAAATACTAAAGGACCCATGAAAGACATTGCAGCCTCTCACCTACAGCTCCTCTACCACTCTGGGTTAATATCTGAGGCCTCGCACTGATCTCAGGATTAATCTGCAGGTTAAGACTTGGTTCTGCTTTTTGAAGCTGCTCCAACTCCCCGAAAAACTTGTGTGTGAACTCTGACTCCTAAAAACTGCAGTGAAATCAAGTGGTTTCATTTCAAGTACTTTTGTTTCCTTTGTATTTGACTGTAACTGATAAACAGGAAAAGGCAGTCTTAGAGGTGAATGTGCAGTTACCAGCAACAGCAAGGAGTCCACTACCTCCTCCCTTCCACTGTTTTTGCCACAGAGAAATTACTTGTTGTCTTTCAAACCACTATCAAATACCACTGAGATTACCCCGTTGAACTAAGGTTTTTCTGACCTACTCCTACTCCATGAGGAAACAAAAACCCCAAGCTTATCACCAAGTTGTTCCTGAGCTCTTAAAGGTTCTTAAGTATTTATACTTCAAACAAGCTACATCTATTATTTTCTGCAGTGTCTTTGGGCACAAAGCACATGCTCAAACACCTGATTTTCTGAAGTTTTAGAGAGTGTATTTACAAACCTATTCCTAAAGGCTCATTATAACTTCTGGGAACAGTCATCCAGAGTAAAGATCTCTTAGAAAAAAGATCCAAAGAGACTTTGTATATGCAACTCTTAACTGACTTTAATATCCATAAGTAGGTACTTTCTACGCTACAGCTCTCAAATCATCTTTTCCAAGAGCTTATTTCTAATTGATTGTTCAGCACACAAAGCAAAGTGAAATGCTTTCAGAACAGGTCCTTTTAAGTGGATGTTTGTGGAGACAAGAGAGAAGTGAACTGGTCAGAAAAACCACGAGTCACCTGTCTCCCATTCACAGTCTGCCCAGAAAACTTCCTTCTTGCTTACTTTTGCCCTCCACACAAGGTGAGTGCTGCCAATATGGTCCCTTAATACCGTAAAAAACATTCCTACTTCTAAATCCAAGCACAGAGATCAGTTTGATCCCGGATATCCTCCCCATTAATGCAGTAGACTGAAAATACCACACACAAGGGTAACACCTTGGGCCTGTTTTCAGCCCTCTCAACACACAGACCAGACCGAACTGAAGTTAAATCTGATATCTGGTCAGCTACAAAGATCAAAGCCCAGCAGCTCACTGCACTGAAACACTGAACTAAACCACAGGCCACCTCAAATGGACCAAGACCATCATTGTCCTGAGGTGAACCCGAGGAAAATTTCCTCACACCAAGTTTACCGGGTGAAAAACCAAACCCAAGTATTACCACCTTCTCACCTCTTTCCAGAGAGCACACAGAGGTATCCCACCTGTACTTCTTTTTAGCAATTCTCCTCAGAGCTTCTCCCAGAAAAAAAAAATTAACAATTCATCCTCTCTGTAGCCAACTACACCATCAAAGAAGATATTGGGGTGCACAGAACAATCCTGGACAGCTCTCACCACAACCAAAGGGCAGAGCCATCAACTACTCTCTGACACTTCCCCTCCCCACAGTTAACTCAGCTTCCAATAGCCCTTTTCACAAAAAGGAAACAAAACACCAGAAATGGGGATTTTAACATCAAGAACTTCCACAGTGCAACCATCTACTCCAAGGAAAGTAACAGATATTAAACTGTATAGGGAATGCAAGGGAAACGCTTCCCTAGTGTTGAAAAACTCTTCCCCAGACAGAGAAAGCTGAAGCTGATCTTTGTCAGCTCCTCCACAGGAGCAGGAAAAGAAACAAAGCAGAAGGGTTGAAACTGGAATGTGGTTTTTAATCCAGTTCAGCAAATTCAGGTGTTTTGCTGGATCATCTCCCTACTTTTTATCCTCTTCTCTGGCTCCCAGGAGACACCTCTCACCCTTTTTTTTTTTTTCCATCCCTCTCCTTTTTGAGGTGTGTTCAGCTCTTCAGACAAACCTCCTGTTAGAGCAGCCAAAATCTGGCTTAAAGCTGGAGGCAGGAGACACTAAGTGCAGCAAGAAGGTAGTTTTTTCCTGCACATCTTTGAGGTGGAAATACACTGCAATTAAAGGTGTTAAAAGCTCAAAGCTACACTATTCCTCCAGTTTTTTATCATAAAGCCACCTCAGCATGTCTGGTTTTTTTTCTGCAGGTACTACAGCAACCCATTCTGAAACACGTGTGACTGTTCAGAACAGCTGAACTGTCATTCCACAGCGAGAAGAGTCCAGTAGAGGAAAAATAATAATTAAAAAAAAAAATTAAAAATCAATATCCTTCTAAGAAGCAGAAAGCTTTTGAGTCACTTAAAGAGTTCTTAATCCATACAAGGATGATTTTAGGGATACTTCTCAGTAACAGCTATGCCTAGACAAGAACTGTGACTGTATTAGAGGAGACAGTAGCAGAGACATTAAAAACAGCACAATAATTTGAAATACCTCTCACAAAGTGATTTCTGTTTCCTTCATCTATAGGCACAGACAGGGTATGTTTTTAAAAATTAAGAAAACATCCATGGAGAGAAAAAAAAAAATTGGTCAGTTTTGTTACACCAAAGCTTAAAAATCTTGAAGCCTGGTTAGCAACTCCCATGCTTGTAACAAACTGGCATGAGAATTATACACCTAGAATTTTTCATCTTTCATGGCAATCAGTCTTTGCACCTTCTGCTTTCAAGGACACAGCACAGAAAAATCTTTGCTTGGAGCAACCACAAGAGCAGAGCCAAAAAAACAAAGCTCACAGACATGAAAAAGATTATTCTTCGATATTTTGTCCGGATAAGTATCTTCTTCCCTCTCTCCAGTTCGGTAATGAGGTGTTACATGAAATGTAAAAATTACCTGTCAAGTAGGTCAAAAGCTGCACAACTGGGCATTTCAGTGCTCAGGAACTGAAGTTGAACTAATTAAACCAACAGGAGTGCAAGGCTTTTCTTGACAGGAGGAGAGGGATTATTCTTTCTGCTTTCTGTGAGCCTGAAACTTCCTTTGATACAAGAGCAATGGAAGCTGCAGGAAGAATTTTCCCCTTTCCCAGAACAACCCATGTCAGGTTCCTCATGTCCTGTCCCCCCATAAAAACCCCTCTGTATATTAACAGTGGTGCTGGAGGTCTCTGTGCTGATCTGCAGAATTATAAATCAAATTCCTGACGCGAGTGCTGCTGAACCAAGGCCTTTCCCAAAACCCAAACCTCACTGATCGCAGGAACTCTGGTGGTGTCAAGTCTCCAAGTGTCCAAAAGGGCAGATTTTGGCCTCGTTTCCTGGCAGAGTTACGAGAAGCACAGCACGGTGCTTGAAATTTGGAGTTACTTTGGCCAACAGCTTGGAAATTCTAACAAACTCAAAACATTTTCAAGCTGTGAATCTGAAAAATAACAGAATTTCGTAACGTTGTTTTGCAGTTGTTTCAGAGCAAAAAAACAACTCTCGCGGTGTCATTGACAAAGTGACACCAGCCATCAGCCAGGGGTTTTCACAGGTTTTGGTGAAAAGATCATTTCCAGTTCTGTTCTAGCACAGGAATTTCTTCGTGGAAGGCAGCTTCAGGACAGAGCTAAAGAAAAACTCATCTCAAACCGTAACTGGTGAACAAGTGACAGCTCAATCCAAATCTAATATTAATGTATATAGTACAGAATGCTGATTTATGGAATGGTTTGGGTCGGAAGGGACCTGAAAGATCACTTAGTTCCAACCCCAATCATTGGCAGGGACACATTCCACTAGACCAGGTTTCTCCAAGCCCCTTCCCACTTGGCCTTGAACATTCCAGGGATGGGAAGTCCACAACCTCTCTGGGCAAACTGTGCCAGTGTCTCACCTCCCTCACAAGGGAGGATTTCTTCCTGTCATCCAATGTAAATCTACCCTCCTTCAGTTTAAGGCCATTCCCTCTTGTCCTATCACTACATGCCCTTGTGAAAAGTGCTACATGAAGATCCCATCCCAAAAAAACAAGCTGCTCATTCCACATCAGAGAAAAAATCCTGGCAGTAGAAATAAATCAGCATTTCACCATCCTAACAAGTTTCAGCTTAAGTGCTACACTTCACTACATCAGAACACACTTTCCTGGAGTACAATTTACACACCCAGAGAAGCAGCCAGCAATCTTTGCACTGGCCCTTTTAGCACTCCAGGAACTACTTGCCGGTTTTTAGCCACTGAAAAATAACACTTCCCAAAAAACTAACGCTGGAAGCTTCAGAATAAGAAATTAAAATATTATTTTAACTTCCCTTATGTAGTCAACCTTTAACTCTAATCCTCTGCTACTCTCGAGGTTTCCTAAAGCCAAGAGTTACAGATGCTTTCAAAAGTAGCTGCCAGAAACAAACCCAAAGAACAACCAAATCCTCTACTTCTCCAAGAACAGGAAACCCCACCGTTTATGGCACACAAATGATTCCTGGATTCCCAGCCTGGAGCTCTCAGTTCTTCAGGCAAACAGGAGGAGGTTCAGAAAGCTGTGTAAAACACATCAGAGCAAAGGGCTCTGAGGGTGCCCCTACACAGTCACTATCAGCTGAGCCTTGGCAAAAGAATTACCCAACACATCAAAACGCTCCTAAATTCATCTAAATTAACCAACAGGATCTTTACCTCCTTTTTCAGCAACTACCTCCTTGCTCTATTTTTAACCTTAAACGCCTAGTTTAAAACCAGTCATTCCTGTACTATCTCAGTAGTTAGGAAAGGGGAAGATAAATTTACTGAGAAAGCCAAAAGGCTCCAAATCCCTGGATTAAATCCAACAACTGAGACTCCTGTTCTCTCTGGCCTGCAGGAAGCAAGAGAGATCCTCACCCCTGCTCCCATCACACAACCCCCACGCCCCCTTCAGCAATCCCCTCCAGCCAAACCAGACACCAGGGGTACAATCCTTCCCTGTAAACCCAGAGGTGAGATACAATATTAGAGCAGCAGGAAGAGAACAAGGGAGGCTCCTGCTGTTGCTTTACGTGTCACAAGCGTGTTTGAGAGTGAAAGGTTTCAAGCTTTTTCAAACTCACACTGAAACTTGGACTGGTACTTGGCTTAATGAGTTATTTAGAGCTCTATACAGCAGTTTATAGGAGGACAGGAAGCAGCTTCTCTCGCAATTAAGTTGACTCAACAACTGTATTTCTGAAAATTACTCTGTTTTGCTCTCACTCCCCATGATTTAAATTATGAAGCTAATATTTCTTATTAACAGGGCTTCACTGTGTTCCAAATCTAACCAGCCTAAAAGATGACGAAATGGAACAGCTACTATGGATACTTTGCCTGAGTACAATGAAGTCACGAGTGCCAAGACCGGCACAAGTATCAGAAGAGATTATTTTCTACTCAGAATGCTGAAAAAATGCATTTACCTATCTTAATGAATCGACAGGGGAACATCTGTTCATCAATTTTATGCTTCAAGGTGAATGTTTCTTTGTTATAATCATTCTTTAAGCCACTGTGGGAAAAAATAAATAAGGTTACTAAATCTTACCTTGTATTTTAGAACTAGCTAATAAATGCAAACTAGGTCATGCCTGACACGCGAAGCTTGTTTCATATCACTCTGAATCATAAGTACACGTGCTGGACCAACGCCTGGGCTGTTCTCCACCACCCTGTGCAGCACTGGGTAGTGATTTTGGGAGGGAACTGACTTTGGATCAGTGCTGCTCCCCTGCACCTCTACCCCTGGGACTTCAGCTGAGGATCTGCTGAACTGAGCTCTTCCGTTCTCCAGAGGGAGAAGGATCAGATCTCTAAATTATATCACCCTGATCCACTTATGGGCACTACTTCATAAAAATATCAAATATTTAGCATGATTTATCAAAAAGCTTAAGTCCATTTTTACTGCAGATGCAAGTACAGGTCCCAAAATGAGGATTTTTACTGAACTTCAGCACAAATGAAATTATATTAGATATCAATAATTATTATGGTACTAAGACCTCTTCCCCCCCCAGCTGTAGCAGCAATAAAGCCAAATTGCACGACTGGTCTATCTAAAGAGGGCAGAAGGGTGGGAAGGGTTGTGGATGGTTTCTATATGGTCATGAAGAATACCTGCAACACAGAACTTCCCACATTCCTCCATGGCTATTCTGCTTGGCTGCAGATGATGTACATATGTACCCATACATTCCTGGAGGTGGACTTCTCTTCTGGAGGCCTCCCAAAATAGACTAGTTCTTGCCTCTCTTGTACTCCTGGATATTTAACTCTCATTTCCCTTTCTGAAGCAGCAGAGTCCTTAAAAGGCCCTTGCAAATTTACATTGGCAACTACTCTGAAGTTCTGGAAAACGTGAACAGCCAAAAGGCTCTTTCTTCAGTCCCTATCCAACCCTAACTACCAAATCCAACTAAACAAAGGAAAATGTAGTTTTTTTCCCATTTGCCTGTTTAATTTATTTACCCATTTGAGTGAAGGCAGAGCAGCTGACTAGTTCAGATCTTTACAGCTGCAATGAATTTTTTAGGGAGCTTACTCGGGCTTTTAAAAGCTACTTCAAAGTTACACACCTGGGGAATCATTCCTCTTGTGCCTCAAGCACAGGGAAGGAAGGAATCACAATCCGGCAACGCTGCACTCTGCTCTCAGCTCTTCCAAATCCTCAAATTCGCTCTCCACAAATCCTCTGTGGTCAGAGCAGGATCAGGAAGGCTCCCTGGAGTGAGTGTTGGGATTGCTGCTCTGACCTGACCGTAAACATGAGGGCGGATAACTGCAGGATCACAACCACAGCTCTGCTCCGCTGTTGGCTGTGTCTGCTCGGGAGCCAAAGGGGAAGAGGATTTTGGTCCAGCCTTTACAATTCCATAGCTGACGGAATCACGTCTTACCTGGATAAGAGATCTGTCATGTTCTCCTCATTCATCCCACCGAAAACCTTAAACTTCTTTAAATTGCAGACATGTGTTTTCTCATATTTGCCAAATGTGATGCTCTGGACTATGGCAGGTCTTTCAAGTTTCAGAATCAAATACTGTGGAAGAGAGAACAGTGGATTTTAATATTAAAGCCGAGGCTGCAAGACACACTAAGGGAGAAGCATTACAGCCTCCAAAAATTCAGTTTATAAAGCTAAAAGAATGGAAGTGAAGATGAAACCTCTCTATTATCATATTTTCTCCTTTGTACTGGAATGAAGAAAAGGTTTGGTTTTTTTTTAGGAATATTCCTTTAAAAGCAGTTTATCCAGGAAAAAGAGTCAGTTGAACTACCTATTCCTAGCAATTCTATTCAGGGCTTACATACATTCCTTTAAGTTGGACGCAAGACTTCCTGAAATCTGGCAAATAGGATCAAACTACGGGGAGCGAGGATTCAAACGCCCACCACAGCCTGAAACGAAACCTAAACTGAATGCATAATTAGATAAATACAGTATGTTCCACACGCTAAGAGAACAGCAAATTACTTCTCCTCTCTGGGCTGACGCCGTTTTAACCACTGAGCACAAAGTTTGGTGCGTGGAGAACGCAGGAACCAACTGCTTATTGACCATCCCAAATAAAACTGAGCCGCTCGGTGACCATAAAGGGTCTGTGCACAGAAAATGATGGGAACGTGCTCACTTGTGAACATTTGCTGCCCTCCTGCACCGCAGGGGCACGTCAGGGGGTGAATAGTCAGGTGATTTATACTCAGGCTCTGGCTACCAGCTTCACCAGCACTACTGGAGGAAAAGGGCTGTTCCCATGGAAAAGCAGGTGCAGGGAAGCACTTGCACCATTTATCGGGGGCCACTGAGCACCCTCCCCACCAAACAGGTCTTGGGGGGAGTGTGGAGACATCCTGTTTTGCAGAACACGTGGAGTTTTATACCTGATTAATTCTTCTCCCTGGTTTCTCCAAACTAAACAGAGCACGCAGGGAATCGAGGCAAAGCGCAGAATCACAATTACTCATCGTGCTGGGTTTTGTCTCGGCTCTATAGAGCTACTAATTCCTAATCTGTGAGAAGGAGTGACATTGTCGTTCTGGGGAGCACCAGGATAAAGATGGGATGGATAAAGGTTCCCAGTGGCTGGTTCCCACTACATTCACAAGAAGCTCGGATTGAGAGAAATACTTGTACATACAACAGCTGCAGATGATGCAGACTGGTAGGTACCTAACAGAACAAGATTTACTGCCAAAGATGTTTCCAGCAACTCAAATTTTTTCAGAGTGAAGAAAAAAAAAAACAGTGCCAGCACTGCAAGGGTACAACAAGAAGAATGCTTTGGTGCGTTCCCAGATTTTTTTAAACGAAAAATTCCTAGTTTTGTAAAAAACACCATCCACCTAAATATCAGAACCCACTGTTAGTTTAACCACACTTTTGTCTAAAGATACTCCCTAAACTTCCAAAAAAAAAATAAATAACCCTAAAGTTCTATACAGAAAACGGATTTTCTAAAGCAGAGGAGAGGACAGGATGAGCAAAAGGACAGTCCTGTAATAAGTAAGGCAGTACTTGATACATGGCACAGCCCGCTGCCAAAATTCCCTGTGCAGAACAGACAGTACACAACGTCTAAGAACTCCTCCCACACCATCATATCTTCCCTGCAGACTTCTCCCGAAGCTGGAAAAGCAAAGCCAGCACTACCAGCAATTGCAATTCTTAATCCTGCTGGAATCCCAAACCTAATGCCTGGGCCATGAACACATACTCTCTCAAGCACCACACAAGATTTGCAAACAGTTGGCACAAAGGTCGTCCTGCATTATTCAATTCTTAGCCTAAATTGTGGGAGAGAAAAGCTGGACTGCACTGAAACCCTTTGTGCTCTGAAGGGAGAAAGGGACAGCAATTACTCCACAGGGCCAGCAGTGATTTCTTAACCCTACAGATAGATAGAAGGGAACTCTGCAGCCCTCCTTCCCACTTCCACACATCCCACCACCTGCTGAGTCACACAGACCCCACAGAAAATAGAAGCACAAAAGCTAAACACAACCTTTACGTGAATTTATCCCTTGACTGATATGGAAACTAAAGACAGGCTTGCTTTAGAACCCCGTACCTACGTATGGACTTCTGTATTTTTTAATGGGTATACATACACAAACTGAAAGACTTTTAAACTGAAAGAAGGGAAATTTAGGTTAGTTAGTAAGAAGAAATTCTTCCCTGTGAGGGTGGGGAGGCCCTGGCACAGGTTGCCCAGAGAAGTTGGGGATGCCTCATCCCTGGAAGTGTCCAAGGCCAGGTTGGACAGGGCTTGGAGCAACCTGGGATAGTGGAAGATGTCCCTGCCCACGGCAGGGGGTTGGAAGTGGATGATCTTTAACATCCCTTTCAACCCAAACCATTCTATGATTCCATGATATATATAAACATACAGACATAATGTACTTTTTGGGTTTCTAAACAAACACACAGGCTGCTGCCACTCTGTGGGTACCAGCTACAAATCTCAACGATGCTGAAAAAAACACTTTGCCTCAAGAGCTGCAAAACAGCTGGGCTGCATGGATATTTTTGGACTGCTACCAGGATTTTAGCTACGACAGACCATTCTCTATGGCTTTGAAAGAAGTGGCAGAACTGTCTGTAAGATCAAGTGATTTATTCAACCTGGAGAGAACAAGTCTATGAGATTCCAGGTCAGTACATACACCAAGATACTTGACACTTTTCCATCCTCTTGCAATAAGCAACATCAGTACATTTAATGTCCACATATTCATGCAGTATTCCAAAAGTCCAAATTATAAACTCAAGTGTTTGTCCACTAAAACAGGGCACAAGGACACTAAATGGCACAACTGAGCAAAAACCCCAGCCCAGGTTTAATTGTTTAAGCCTCGAATTGCAACACTTGCAAAAAAAAAAAATATGCTACAAAACATTAGAAGAGTAAAACTTCTGGTTTATGACTCAACATTTTTGTAAGCGAAAATGCACAAAGAGAAAAGTCACAGACAGCACTTCAGCACCCAAACAGCTCATTATTACACTGCACCCAAAAAAAAATGTAAATCCAGCCTGTCACACTGGGAGCTGCAGCAAATTCCACACGCTTTTGAAGCGTTGGTCTGTGCTACCATTTGATGACAACCATATGAAAGCTCCTGCACCACACAACTGAGTGTAAATTTTATTAATGTACTTTACATTAATTCCTGGTACAATCTACACGGCAGGATGGAAATCAAGAGAGGAGAACTAGGCTTCCCAGATGCAGAACTGAAACCAATTGTGTCAACAACACCACCCAACTTTCTACATATGCCCTTCCAGTGTCCAAAATTCCCATCTCCACAAGGCTGGAATGGGCTGCCCAGGGAGGTGGTGGAGTTACAATCCCTGGAATGGTTCAAGAAATGACTGGATGTGGCACTTAATGACATGGTCTGGTTGATGAGGTGGTATCTCGCCAAAGCTTGGACCCTGTCTCAGAGGTCTTTTCCAACCTTATTGATTCTGTGATCAAATACACTGAACCAGATTCCAAGTTGCCAGTGCAATTAGAGTCACACTGTAATTTATCAATTAAGCATTTTTTATCAGGGAGTAGTGAAACTTGTATTGCAGGTGAAAATCACCACCACAACATGAAATAACAGGGGCTGCCCTTGTCCATGACACAAACCTCCTGACTGCCTTTTCAGTTAAGTTGGTGGCTAAATAAAAATCTATCCTTCTGTTCTACACATTATTAATCAAGTCACTCAGGGGAATTAGATCCTGTTCTGTGTCAGACCATCACTGGAATCATCAGGATGAGCCTTTATGACAGAGCTGTGGTCTTCAGCATCACTGGCCTCACTGCTTCACACTTCCTATGTAAGCTGAAAACTGGATTAAAAATAGACCCACCAGCCCTCTCCTGCTTGAATAGGTTACTACATAACAGGTTTGTTATTAAATATATAATTTCTGGGTCATCTATTTCAAGGCTCAAGAAAGATATGTAGTTTAATAAACAGAAAACCAGCTGTCAGATGTATTTCCTTTCACTGGCACTCATTCATAACCAACTGGTGGCTTTCAAGGCCACGAGAATTATTTAACTCTACCATACCCATACAGCCAGGAAAACCCTTTACTAAATACAGTCACATGGTAGCATTTCAAGGGTCTACACTTCCACTTCCATCCTCTTTCATTCCTCAAAAAGTGTTTGATACAGACTCTGGCCCACTTACTGCACTTCCATGGAGCTACTGAGCGCATTTTGATGCTCTCACCTAAGTTCTTCCAACTCGTGCTCATCCCAGCAAGAGGAGCACTGCGAAAGAAAAGGTGTCAGGAGGAAAGGCTCCCTTCCCTGAAAAAGTGAAGGGAATAAATCAATGTGTAAGGAGTCACCTCTAGGGCAGCACAGCATCCTCACCCCAGCAGGGAACCGCTAAGCCCTGACGTTCAGGTGAGACGCTGACGAGCCAAACGCGAGCGACTGGCGCTGCAGAGCTTATTAAAAACATCTGCCAGCACGTTCCCCTGAGCAGGACTGACACGAGCCCCCGTGCTGCGTCTTAGCCCTGCTTTCAGCCCATAAAATTTGGGAACAAGGAGAGCTTTATTTTCCCCGAGTTTTCGTTCGCTTCCTGTCCGGACTATCGTGGCCACCCACACGCTCCAACAAGTGCGTCACCGCACAAGTGACCGGTCTTTAACTGAAGCGCTGCCAACACGCCACCCAGAAAATGAAGCTCTGCAGCTTTGTTTTCCATAGGATATGTGATGTTTATTCTGGGGATTAAAAGCCATGTGTATATATATCGACATCTCTCGGAATGTGAACTACTCAGGTTCTAACAAGGGAACTGATTTTGCCCCACCTTCTCCCCTCGCCACACTCATAACTCGGTCACCCACTGTCTCAACTGAAGTTTTCCAAGCTGAGAATCTGCCTTAAGGACTTCAGCCACCTGGAAAAACAAGGAAGCAGAATACCTATATGTAAGTTTTACCTGGATTTAAATACGGTAGTTTTTCAATGAGCAAGGTGGGAGAATTACTCTGAGTAAAATGCAACCAAATCCGGAGTTCTTTTGTCAAGTATGAGACAACGCAAAGGGGAATTGTTTCTATATACACAGAAAGAATAAAAGCTGCATTCTTTGCACACAGGCCTCTTCTACATATTTTAATTCCCCACTCCCTCTTTCCAGTTAATTTTTCAGAGAAATTAAACTGTCAAAAAATGCTTTACATGGATAAGCTCAGAGAATTAGCTAAAGTATATATATACATAAGTATAAATATACAAAATATTATATTCATTATAAAGTATGTATAAAAAGCACTCTACAGTACAAGGGCACTGTAAATACTTCATCTCTCTCAGCACTCAGGATTGGGCTTGCTGAATCCAACTACACAGCATTTTATATTCTGACTATTGGACACAGAGATTCAGTAAGAGGAATTGAGCAGGATGATCTTTTCCAGTCAGGCAGCCAGGTTTTCCATTGGTTTTGTCTTTAACAGAATAAAACTCAAATACTGTCTTGCCAAATCTCAGTTGTAACTACTAAGATCAATTTTTTGCAAGTCAAACCTTAATTCTGGATCCCTAACACATGTCCAGATATGTGACATACAGGTAGATAAATGACAGTGTTAATTCATCTCTCTCCTACCAAAAAGGCAGGTTTAAATGCCTTGCTTAGCATTCAGAGCAGTGCCCAGTTCTCCAGGGCTGGATTCAGTCGTTCTGCAGCAGCATCTCCATTCAGGTCACGGCCAATCCACATAAAATTTTTGGAAGACATCTCTTTAACAAGCTCGTGTGGTTTGTACAGAAGTCTGCCACTCTAATTATTCCCTGCCTCATCTACATGTCTGAATACAACCCCCATCACTGCTTGTCAGCTCTGAGCACAGGTTGGGAATATTCTAAAGCACCCAGTTACAAGAGGTTCCTTCCCCGTTCCACAGTCAGATTTTTAAAAGCACTGAATATTCAGGATGGCTCAGGAAATGAAAGAGCAAATTTGAGCAGCAACTAAAAGCACACCTCAGACGAAAAACCCAGTCCAAAACCATACCACAAAAAAACAACCCACCCTAAGAGCAACACGTGCTTCCTGCAGGAGAGGAAGGATGGTACAGATGGGAATAGAAGCCAAGCTCAATACTCATTACCCTGCAATCCATAGTTCCTAGATAGACTAAAACTGCTTCAGGCTATGGATTAAACTCCTACACTGTTCATCAAAATAATTATATATTAAAAAAAAAAATCATACTAAAAGTATGATGCACAGAGGCATCAAGAGAATAAAAATTATTAGTCTTCACAAGCAGCTTTATGTTAATGGAATAAAGAGGACAGTTTTCCATCTCCTCTAAAAAACCTGCCACTTCTGCAGACACAACAACAGAGAAGGACTGATCAGAAAATCCAGATGAAAGCTCCTCAGCTGGACAGGATGACCTGCTGCTCTAGGGAGTCACCAGTGCAGACTATCGATTTTTAACACACCTCCAAGGCAAAGCAGCAAGATTTACCTGGAGAAAAATCCTGTGAGATTTCACTCATGAGGAATCCTTGGATTAAATAAGCAGATAAGCAGAACTCTGCACGAGAAAAACACTGCACAAGACACTCTGCTCAGTGCCTTTAACAAAAGAATTTAAACAATTTAAAACAATAAGCAACATAAGAGACACAGAAGCTGATCAAACAGTATCAGAGTAATAAAGTATGGTTCTAACACATACACACCAAAATAAAAAAAAAAAAAGGATAGCACACTTACTGGAGGAAAAAAAGTAAGTGGAAAAGCATTTTCTGGATAACCCAAAACCTACTTAATAGTGAGAAAGCAAATTAGATGCCAAAATCAATACAAATTTAATTTTAATAAGGTGCTTAACCAGTAGAAGAGGTGACACTCACGTCCCTTTAACCAGAGGCTACATTTCTAAACGTGCCGTTAAGGAGAAACAAACACAGGCCCCTTAGATCTGGGATTCAAGGCCAAGAACCTACAACAGCCTCCAGTAGTGCTGACAAAGGGGGACCTCACGCCTCATTAGCAGCTTAATCTCACCAGAAGGCTCCATTATTTCCAGCGCGACCACGACTGCCAAGGATGAAACCTGAAACTTCCCCCCCCATCCCAGGAATGAAGCATTCCTTGAAACATCCCAAATTGCTAGAAATGTAAATACCCGATGTACCAACAATCTGCATTTTGCTCAGAGAAGGAAGCCTATAAAGGCTGTCCACAGAAGCAGAGTGCATTCGAGATAAAAATTCCAGGAGATATGAAGTTGTACAACACGGCTTACCTGGGGGGGATAATTGCTCTCTGAAGACCACCTTGAGGACTGATCATTTGGCTTATCCACCAAGATATTCCTAAAAAAACAAACAAACAAACAAAAAACCAACCAAGAGGTCATAATTAATGTAAACAGCCACCTATTTTACTTCTCCAATAAATCTGTTTACATGCAGAGCAGTAACGTTCTCGTGCAGCCACCTAAATCACCAGGTAGAGACTCAGGTTCTCCCCCTCGTTGCTAAAAACTTGGTACATCACTGTTTTACAGGACCCATCAAAATACGCCCCCGAGCCTCGTGGTTGTGAAACGGAGCCCCAGGTTGCGAAAGAAAAAAAAAAAAAATTCCCAATTGTGAAACAAATGTAAAACAGATGAATTTACGCAGGCTCAAGTCTGTAATGAAGTGGAAAAACCGGGCTCATCCACCCCAACGGGGTAAGAACTTCTCAACAAGGTTAAAGTGATGAGCAGTGAGGGGGTTACTAAGCCAAAAACTGCCCTTTACTAGACAGGCAATATTGGAAGGGAGAGAGAGAGAGATCTGTTAACCTACTTAAGCTTTCCTGGAGGGTGGAAGATGACCACCTAACTCGTGCCAAATTTTACCAAGTATTTTTCAGGAGCTACGAGCCTAGAACAACACACGAGAAAGCAGAAGTTCAACTCTTCAATCAGCAAACTTGAGCTGCTCTCTTACGGTTCGGAATAGCACGGTATTTACGGGATTAGCAAATTCAGAATAGAACTTTTTTTTTGGCTAAAATTAAACAGATTCATCATGACAGTCATATGAGAGGGCTGCCTTCTCTCTTATAACAATGCAGTAAAGCTTACCTCCTAAAAAAAAAAAAAAAACTTAAAAAAAGTAAAATCACTAAAATGTATATAATTATTGGCAAGGTGACGATGCACCACCTGCTGGACGGGCCTTATGAACTCCACGACGTCCAACTAATGAACTCGTCAGCTCATAAAACTTATGTAAAAAGAAGGAAACTCATCAAAAGGCTTATGCCATCTCCATCTGCTGTGTAGGAGGGAAAGAACGAGAGCATCTGGATTACTACAAAGGGCTGGAGGAAAAAGCGCTGCCGTGAAAGCTCCGAAGGGAAGGAGGTTAAGTCGGAGGTTGAGCATTAACAGACAGAAATCAGCTCGCTCCTTCCACACCGGGCAGACCGAAATCGGTGCTCTAGCAACGGTATCCAAGCAGTCCCTGCTGTGACAAGAGAGACAGCAAGGAGCCAGCCCAGGGTGGCCTCTGAAATCCCAACATTTTCCAGAGCTGGTGAAGTGGCTGTGTCCATCCGCAGGCTCAGATCATCAGGATTTGCAAACAGCACGGGAATAAAACTCAGGTTCCCCTCTGCCTTCAGCTAATTCCCATCACGGCATATTTATTGGCACAGCGATGCCAGCACCGATCCAGGGCTGCAGGTACTTTATTCACATGTTTCCAATGGGAAAAATGTGATGGAACAGGATATGGACAAGCACTGCCCTCCCGCTCAAACCCCATCAAAAGAGGGAACATCGAGCCACGGATCTGCATAATTAAACATCCAGATGAGCACATCTACACTGCAGTGCAAACAATCTCAACTCCAAGAGAAAACCCAACCTCCATCTTTAATTACAAACAGGACAACACCAACTAAACCCAAAGGGGAGAATTTGGGAGCTGCAGAGACACAGATTTCTAATAAAAGCTGCCAGTCTCCAAGCTAAGTCACCATTAGAAACCACAAGACACTTGCTGTTGAGAAGATTCATACCTGCACTCTCCTACCACACCACAGGCAAGACAACCTGGTATTTAATAAATTCTTAATGCCTTTTACTATCTAGAGAGGAAAAAAAAAAAAAGCTAAACTTGAAGATATGTATCTTGTATTAAATACTTTAAGGGATATAAAGGCAGACAAAAATAGATAATGGCCTTTCTCCTTTATGGAATTTTATCCTAGAATGGAAGAAGACAACTTACCCTACAGATTATATTTTATTTATGATGCCATTACATTTGCTTAAATACTGGACATAAAATCGTCATATGTTGAGCAACAATTGCAGGAATTGGCACTGTTACATTGTCAGATAATTCCCTGCTGGAAAAAGGCATTTTATACCTGGGACAGATCCCAAATATCGTATTTTTAGAAGGAGATTTGTTTGCTTCTCCAGGTCAGAGATCAGTTTGCCACAACCAAAGAGGATCTCAATCAGCACAGTTAGACAAGATAAAAATCCTTCCACGGAGAGAGAGAAAAGAGACAGGCAGTCACACAAAGTTAAGGCTAAGAAGAAATATGAAAGATAAAGATAGCAGTGTCAGTGGAGTTAGAAATGTTTAAAAATACGTGGGTAATTAATTAATTAAGATTAAACAAACACTGAAGACAGAAGTCCATATGTACAAAGTCAATTTACCAAAACAATTTAGGAAAATTTATGGGCTTGGAAGAATTCAAGCATTCCAGGAGCCATGAGACAGTAAGAAACAAACAAATTCATATCCTAATGGCAGACTCCTTTTTTCCATGTAAAGCCCTTTTTCTGGACATCAAACTCCCACACAGTACCCGGGGGCAGGCTTTGCAGATATGACACCTAGATTAAAATCTGAGAAACTTTAGAAGTGAAAATTCCATTAACTCAACGACTGCCCATGCAATTTTCACAAGGCATTAAAATAAAAAATAAAATAAAAAAAGAAGATATTTGTAAGCCCTCGAGCTACACAAGAACAGAATGGTTTTACACAAAAAATTTTTTCCTGGGGAAAAAAGCAACCCATTAAACACGGCTTGAGATAACTCCTAATCATCAGCTGTGGGTACAGGATCGAGTCTCTCACGAATCTCCAGCGGTGTCGAGAGGGACCATCCCACCCACTCTCTCCACCAGCAGCTATAATAAAGATTTGCACAAATAACTTCTTGAGTCAGATCAGTTCTCCAGTTTGGCTCATCACCGGTGCCAGCGTCACCAGGGATGGCAAAGATGAGCAGCTGGATCGGGGCGAGGGGTTCACAAACTCCCAATCCCCCTCTCCCACCGGAAAAATCAGATGCCACGATACCTCTGCTCCTAAAAAGCTAAGGAGAAGGAGCCGTTTTATCGACCTCATCACTCTCTACAGCTACCTGAAGGGAGGTTGTAGCCAGGTGGGGGTTGGTCTCTTCTCCCAGGCAACTATCAGTAAGACAAGAGGGCATGGTTTTAAGCTGTGCCAGGGGAGGTTTAGGTTGGATATTGGGAAGAAATTCTTTACAGAGAGGGTAATCAGGCACTGGAATGGGCTGCCCAGGGAGGTGGTGAATTCTCCATCCCTGGAGGTGTTTAAGACGAGACTGGATGTGGCACTCAGTGCCAATGTCTAGTAACTGTGGTGGTAGTGGATCAAGGGTTGGACTCGATGATCTCAGAGGTCCTTTCCAACCCATCTGCTTCTGCGATTCTGTGATTTGCTCCACAAGCAGCACCGTGCCCAGAGGCACCACTGATACACCTTCATTTCCTAACCTGGCTGCCTGCAGGGCTATTCACAGCTCGGCCTTACTGAAAAGCGCTCCCATCCCTAAATAAGTGGATGGTTCTGATTGCTCCATGCAGAAAAGCCCTTCTGGCAGAGCACAGGGGCGAGGTTCCTTTTATTACCCGGGCAGGCACTGCCCTCACAACTGCTGGAAGTAGATAATTTTTCCTTTCACCATCCCAGAAACCGTCATATCCGTTGTGCCAACTGCTGGTTGATCTCTGCTGGAACGACAGAGATGACCCCACGCGCCTGGGGACTTCTCTGCAAAGAGCTCTCTGCACGACAACCACTAAGGGAGAGTTTTCCTTTGCTCTTGGGGGGGGAGAGGGAGGAAGGGAGAAATAAGATGACTTTGCAGAACAGGCTGCAAATGAGGTTTAAGGCTGCTATAATTTGCATCTAACCTAAATATTTTCAGGAAGCTGCTATTAAGAGAAATCCACGACTTTAGGAACGAGTCCCCAAGAATAAACAAATCCCAGGCACTCGCTTTGCTTGGCACACTCACGTGGCTCCTGGGAGAGCAGCTGTGCGGGGAAGGGCACAGGCGTCGCCAGGAGCACTTGGAACACGGACAGGGTTCCCCTGGAAAACCACGGAGGTACCAGACCATTACACTGCAAAAAACGAAAATGGGCAAAATACTCGCTCCAGGGCTGATTTTTTTTCAGTTTTTCCTACAACCATCCCAAAACGGATGAAGGGTGAACACAGCAAGTGGAATTCACGGACTAGAATTTCCACTAAGGCCACAGCAAGACGTGCTGGACCAACTATTTCAAGCATGTGGAGCCATCACAGCAGCCAGCACAAAGCATCCACAGAGATAATCCTGCCCAGCCAGGACTCTGGAATGTACACACAGTCGTAACCAAGAAAAACTGGAAGGGTGTGAGGGGGGGAACCAACCCACCACCAAAAATAAGTCCACAAATCCGGAAAGAACTATGGATTTTTTTTTTCTCCTGCAGCTCACAGAAACTCACTGCAACTAATGCTAGTTTCAAACCGCCCTGACTGTGATGTTTGAAGACCTGTGTGTACCTCTGGTTGTCCCCTAAAGCAGCTCAAAACAAACCACCTTTTGAGATTCTGTTACGAAGTTTTTCTCTTTCCTATGGGGAAAGTTTTCTTGCTTGAAATGGCAGAAGGATGTAAAGACGTGAAAACATCTTTGCTGAACTGCAGCAAAACACGCGTGGTTATTTTATGCAGACCCATTCAGGAAACAAGTTTTTGGGGGGTTGGGTGTTGTTTTTTGGATTTCTTAACCCCACAGGAGGACCTCCTGCACAGCAAAACAAAGTTCGAGTTAAACATGTACAAGTGAGCACTTTTAAATATGACACTGTGATGAGATCTGCTCTGCTCAAATTTGCTTCATCTCCTCAGCGGTCTCACACAAACATCCAGCACGTCGTAAATTCACTTCTCTGAAAAGTAAAATAGCCTAGCAAGTACAGCATAACAAAAAGAAATTGAAGGATTCAAAAATCACCTTACAGAAATATCCTTATCAGATCACAACTGAC